TAGCCGAAAAGTATCCTCACATTAAGTTCATCATTCCCCAGGCTCCTACCATTTCAGTGAGTATGAATCGGGGTTGGTCGATGCCGGCTTGATACAATATTAAAGGTAATCCTCGTGATATCATGAGTTTAAAAGAAGATATAAAAGGTTTGTTAAAATCAGTCAGCCAAATTAAAAAAATTATTCAGGAGGAAATAAATTCCGGCATCTTACCAAAAAAAATTATGGTGGTAGGTCATTCGCAAGGAGCCTCCATGGCTTTGGCAGTTGGCTTAACTTCGGATTATCCTTTGGCCGGAATTATTGGTTTGAGTGCTTTTTTGCCGTGTCGCCACGAAATATTTAATTGAGCCAAAGCCGAGAATAAAATTACTCCTTTTTTTCTTTATCATAATTATTATGACGAGGTTATTCCGGTTTGGGTTGGCAACCAATCGGCTGATTTACTGAAGGAAAAAGGTTATCAAGTAGAGTTTGAGGGCGAATATAGTGGTAGTCATTTTTTTCAACCGGAGGAACTGCAAGAAATATTGACCAAAAAATTAAATGCTCTTCGGTAAAGTTTATAAAAATTATATTATTATATTAAGAAAGAGAAAGAGATTGAAAGATGATGAAAAGAGATAAATTCTCTCTCTCTCTCTCTCTCTCTCTCTCTCTCTTGCAACATATTTCATTATTACGAAATTCATTTTAATTGCCCATTTTTCCTGATTAAGTAAATTACTTAGTAATTAGAAACTGTTAAAAATGGGCAATTATTTTGTATACTGTAATAATAACCAAATACATAATTTTTACGTCAAAAAAAATAAATTTTATTATTCATAATTCATGGAGATATTTCCAAGCAGACACTCAAAAAAAGCAAAATGTTTACTGAGTTGACAAATTTTATTATCAGAATGAGCCTAAAAGTTTTAGATATATAAAAATTGGACAACAAAAAGGGCAAGAATTCAGAGATAAAAATTTCCGCGAATCAGACATTTGTATTCTTTCCTGTCCAGAGGAACAAATAAAAGTTGAAAAATGAACTGCGTCTGGAAAAGACTATAATGCCCTTTCCTTTGGAAATGATGTGACGGTTGATAAACTAGAAGAAAAGGATAGCGAAATTTTCTTTGTTTATAAATCACGCTGAAGTCTTGAAAATAAACTTATTTTCGAGGGAGGAATGGCAAACACAGAAATAAAAAAAATCACGGGAGAAGAGTGCATTTTTCTATTATTAAGAAAATTGAAATTTGATTTCCAAATTGCGAAGAAGCAGAAAAGAAATACAAAGAGATTTATAAAGAAAAATATTGTATTGTTGAAGGAGTTGATTGAAAAAAAGCCCGAATAAGTTTTAAAACTTTGGAAATAGTTGGATTTAGTAATGTAGGGGAAACATTCGCCGCAGCAGGAGGAGCAACCCCAACCGAAAACCCCGAAACAACCACCGGAACCCACCCCACGGGAACCGAAGAAACTGGAAATACCTCCGAACCCGAAACCACCGGGACACCACCCGAACCAGCGACCACCGGGGCATCAGCACAAACGCCAGAACCAAACACCACACCTCCTCCTAAACCCATTAGCGTTTATGACTATTTTGAAACAAAGTTAGCCGACGAAGACCAAAATTTATGAACCTTAGTTAACCAGTATGTTCCTGGCAACAACAAAACTGAAAAAAAGTTGCTTTTCTTGTCATTAATCAGAAGTGGACTTATAAATGAAGACCATGTGGACAGCCAACGGAAGTTCATTAAATATGGATTTCTCAAAAATAAACTTAAAGAAATTTATCCGCAAAGTCAAGGTTCTCAAAATGGTAATCCTCCCCCGGGTGGAGACGAGTCCACTCAGACTAGAAAAAATGCTATTCAAACCATCACGGCTGCTCTAAATTTAGAACCCATCATAAAAGAAAGCGAGTTAAGTGCTGAATTTCAGGACTGAAAGGAAAAAATAAATAGTTTGGATAAGAATGAAATTATTAATGATTTTGTAAAAAAAATGTTGTCGGCGATTGGGGGCAAACGAAGAGAAAAACAGACCAGTCAAAAAGTAAATGATAATGTAAATGATATGAAAAATAAAACTGGTGAGGAATTAAATGAGAAAATAAAGGAAAATGATGAAGCCTCTGACACCAAAGCCTACCAGGAAAAGAAAGAGGAAATTGAAACTCAAAAAAAACGGTCTGCTTCGGAAGACCCTGACCAATATCGTCGGAATGTGGCTATTCCAGGAATTAAGGACTCCATGGCAAAAAACGATATTAAAGAGGACGAGTTAGATGCTGACACAAAAAAGGATTGAGAAAAAATAAAAAATGGGGAAATTCAGGGTGAAGAGATAGTGGAAAAAGAAACCAAAATTAAACAATCCATTGGCCAGCAAGGAGTCGAGAAAAAAGTTAATTTTTTTAGAAAGGAGGTAGAAAAAGCCCTAAAATCAGGTAAAAAAGAAAGCATAGAAAAATTAAAAACCCAAATGATAGAGTTCATTAATGCTGATAATATTTTCTATGAAAGCAAAAAAGCCGAGGTGCGGTCATTACTATCTAGATTAGATAATTATAGTAATAACCAGCCGCAGCACAATAATTCACCACAATTTCCTGGAAAAGTGGTTGTTTCTGTTTTGTTGTTAGCAGTAATATTGATAATAACCGCATTGGTAGCAATTAGAAAGAGAAAAAGAATTAGTCAAATTAGAAAAACCAAGACTAAATTAACCAACTAATACGGAAAAAGATAATAGTAAACTTAATTGAGCCATTGGTGGCTTAGGAATTGTGGTTCTGGTAGTTGGTTGGTTGCGTTTTGTCCTTTTATTAAGAAAAAGGAAAAATTAATTGCCATTTCTTGCTAAGTAATTCTTGTCTATTTCATCCAAAAAGGGCGAATAAAGTTCTTGACTACTGATTAAATAAAGCAACTTTTTGGCTCGGGTTATTCCTACATAAAATAATCTTTTTTCCTCCGTGAGGTCTTGGGTTTCTTTGTAAGGAAGGGTTCCTTGGTCTAAGTAAATAAAAAATACTGCTTCAAACTCTAATCCTTTGGCTTGATGTACCGAGGAAAGTATTAAATTATTACGCGTTTTAATTAACTTTTTGTCTTCAAAAGCAATAATAATCCATTGCAAAAAAGCATTCAATAATTCATTTAAATCAGGGTATTCTTTTCGGCGTTTATTTTCTCAATTTTGGGTGATATTAAGAAATTGTTGGACATTTTTTTCTCTTTCAGAAGAGTTAATTCGGGTTTTTAAGTGTCCTCAATAATTAAAGTCATTAAGCACTCCCAAGAGAAAAGTGCTGAGAGAAATTTTTTGTTCTAATTTTTGAGAAAGTTCAGTATTTAATTTTTCTCTTCATTTATTGATTTTCAAAATAACGGAACTGATTTTTTCTACTTGTCCGACCACAATTTTTTCTTCATTTAAGTTGGTGATAGCAGCAAAATTATTCAGGTAATTAAAAATACTAATCCCTTCTTTTTCACTATTTTGCTCAATTTTTTCAATCGTGCGAGCCCCAATTTTTTCTTGTAAACTTAAAACTCTTAATAAGGAAATATTATCCTGATAAATAATGGCTCGTAAAAAGGATA